TTATTTTGAGCAATATGAAAAAATCGAAGAGAAATTATGACTGACCGAGGCAGTGGAAAAAAGAAGGGCTTTTCTTTGTAACCTTTGATGACCATGATTCTGTGGATAAGATTGTCATTCAAGAATACCACACTATGAATGGCCACAACTGTGAAGTGAAGAAAGCCCTGTCCAAACAGGAAATGGCTGGTGCTTCAGCTAGCCAAAGACGTCGATGTGGTTCTGGAAATTTTGGTGGTGGTCATGGAGGTGGCTTTGGTGGCAGCCATGGTGGGGGTGGATATAGTGGCAGTGGAGATGGCTACAATGGATTTAGTAATGATGGAAGCAATTATGGAGGTTGTGGAAGCTATAACGAATCTGGAAATTACAACAGTCAGTCTTCAAATTTTGGACCCATGAAGGGAGGAAACTTTGGAAGCAGAAGCTCTGGGCCCTATGGTGGTGGAGGCCAATATTTTACTAAACCATGAAATCAAGGTGGCTCTGGTGGCACCAGCAGCAGCAGTAGCTATGGCAATGGCATAAGGTTTTAAACACTTCCAGGAAACAAAGCTTAGCAGTAGAGGAGAGCCAGAGAAGTGACAGGGAAGCTACAGGTTACAACAGATTTGTGAACTCAGCCAAGCACAGTGGTGGCAGGGCCTAGCTGCTACAAAGAAGACACGTTTCAGACAATACTCATACATATAGGCAAAAACTCGAGGACTATATTTGTGACCAATTGTATAACAGGTTATTTTAGTTTCTGTTCTGTGGAAAGTATAAAGCATTCCAACAAAGGGTTTTAATTTAAAACTTTTCTTTGTACCCATGCTGTTGACTGCTAAATGTAATAGTCTGATCTCATGATGCTGAATAAATGTGCCTTAAAAAAAAAAATTCCTGAAATTCAGCACAAGAACAAAATATTAAAGGCTGTTAGAGAAAAGAAACAAAGAAATAGGATACTTGCACAACAAAGAACTGAAGAAATTCTTGACCACTGAATGAACCCTACAAAGAATACTCAAAAATATTCTAGAAAGACATAAAAATGACCATAATTCCAAGAACAACAATAAAAAGGAAGCACCAAGTAAGGCAAGCAATTAAAAAGAGGGTAAAAGTAGGGAATCAATACCAGGAAAGTAGTGTGAAAAAGATAAGTCAATACATATCAGTCATAGCCACTAACGTAAATGGCCTCAGTTCACCAGTCAAAAGAAATAGGCTAGCAGAGAGGTTCAAGAAACAAAATTCAACAGTATTTTGTATAGAAGAAACACACTGGGATTCGATCCCTGGCTTGCCGTGCTGGCTCCATCCACCAGGCATGCTGAGATGGTGATTGAGACTGGGTGTGGTGGCACACACCTATAATCCTAGTGCTTGGGAAGCTGAAAACAGGAGAATCACTATGAGTCCCATCGGTGTAGTGAGACCCTGTAGACTTTGTACTAAATATATATGAAAGAAAGAAAGAAAGAAAGAAAGAAAGACATTTAACTCAAAAGGAAATTCATAGACTGAAAGTCAAAGGATAGAAAACAATACTCCATGCCACAGGAACCCAGAAAAAAGCAGGGGTAGCTATTCTGATTGCTGACAATATGAACTTCAAGCCAAGAATGATCAAAAGAGATAAGGAAGATCACTATATACCATTAGGGGAAAACTACAAGAGGAAAAGATAATCATATATGCATCAAATATGGAAACACCCAATTATATAAGACAAGTTTTTATAGACATGAAAAATCAAATGAGCAATAACACAATTGTAATGGGAGACTTCAATAACCCATTCTCATAAAAAGATAGATCAACTAGACATTATCATAAAGGGGTGAAATCATCTATATATCCTGTAGAAATTCAGAAGAACATCAATACTTACTTCAAAAATCTTTACTGTCATAGAATGGAAAACACAGATGAGATGGACACATTCCTAGATACGTATCAATTATGGAAGCTGAACCAAAAAGATATCACAATTGTGAATAACCCAATATCAGTCAATGAAATTGAAAATGTAATTTAAAATGTAGTAACAAAGAAAAGCCAGGGATCAAATCTCAAATGTGTTTCTTCTATACCATATATTGTTGGATTTTGTTTCTTGATCCTCTCTGCTAGCCTATTTCTTTTGACTGGTGAACTAAGGCCATTTACATTAATGACTGTTATGTATGGGCTTATCTTTTTCATATTACTTTCCTGGTATGGTTCCCTACTTTTATCCTCTGTTTACTTGCTTGCCCAGGTCCTGATGGATTCAACACCAATACTTCTCAAATGAAATACTTTTCATTTCTTCTTTTCATCTCAATACTTCTCAATACTTCTTTAATGAAATGGAAAAGAAAGCAACTCTGCCTAACTCATTCCCAGAGACAACTATTACCCATATACCAAAAACCAGAGAAAGAACCAACCAAAAGAAGAGAACTATAAGCCAATTTTTGTAATGAACATAGCTGAAAAATCCTCCATAAAATACTAGCGATCAGAATGTAGTAAATCATCAAGATTATACATCATTGCCAAGTGGAATTTATCCCAGGAATGCAAGGATGGTTCAATATACACAAATCAACCAATGTAGCACAAAGCCCTGAGTTCAATTCCAGGTTCTGCCAAAAAAAAAACAAAAAACAAACAAACAAACAAAAAAAGTAATATATCAGATCAACAGAGCCAAACACAAAACTCAATGACTACCTCCATATATACAGAAAAAGCTTTTGATAAAGTCCAACACTCATACATGATAAAAATCCTACAGAAAATCAGAATAGATGGTCTTTACCTCAATCTGATAAAAGCCATCCATGACAAACCATAAGCCAGCATCATTTGAAATGCACAAAAATTGAAAGCTTTCACTTTAAAATCAGGAAAAGGACAAACATGTACACTGTCACCATTCCTATTCAATGTAATTCTAGAAACATTACTCAGAGCATTTAGAAAGGAGAAAGAAATAAAAGCAATAGCAATTGGGAAGGAAGAAGTGAAATTACTATGGCATGGTACTCTACATAGAAGACCCTAAAAACTCCACCAAAAAAATTCTAGACTTACTAAGCAAATTCAACAGTACAACTGGACGCAAAGTCAACACTCAAAAATCAATAGCATAGCAATCCTGTACTCCAAAATCAATAGCAGCTTAGGGGCATAAATGCCTGCTTAGCAAGCGTTAAGGCCCTGAGATTGATCCCTGGCACCAAAATAAATAAATAAATAAATAAATAGCATTACACAGAGAAAAATTAGGGAAATTACATCCTTCACAATAGCATCTCAAAAAATGAAATACTTAGGAATCAATCTAACAAAGGAAGTAAAAGATCTATACAGTGAAAATTACAGTATTCTAAGAAAAGAAATCAAAGAGAATTTCAGAAAATACAAAGATATTCTTTGCTTGTAGATAGGAAGAATCAACATTGTGAATATGGCCATATTCCCAAAACTGTTATACAAATTGAATGCAATCCCAATTAAAATACTATTAGTATACCTCACAAATCTAGAGAAAACATTCCTAAAATTAATCTAAAAACCAGAAATGATCTAGAATAGCAAAAGCAAGCCTCAGCAACAAAGGAAAAGCAGAAAGCATCACAATCCCTGATTGAAATTATCATACAAAGCTACTGTGATAAAATCACCATGGTACTGGCAACAGAACACCTGAGGTTCAATGGAACAGATTTGAAGATGCAGAAAAAACTACAAATACACTTAGCCACCTTATTGTGGAAAAATTTGCCTAACAAGTTCATTGGAAGAAAGACAGCCTCTTTATTAGGTGAAGTTTATTTTTTGTTTGTGGACCCGAGGACTGAACCCAGGGCTTTCAGCTTGCTAGGCAAGCATTCTACCGCTGAGCTACATCTCTAGCCCCAGCCTCTCTATTAAATGATGCTGGAAAAACTGGCTTTCCACGTGCTGAAGACTAAAACTAGACCCATATCTATCTCTATGCACTAAATTAAAGTCAAAATGGATTCCAGATATTAAAACAGAAAACACTAGAACTATGGGAGAAGAAAGTAGGTAGACATCTTGAGGACACAGGAGTAGGTAGAGAGTTCATGAACAAAAACCAAATTGCACAGGAAGTACTTCAAAGAATCAACAACTAGGATCTCATCTTTTGGAAAAGTTTTTTTTACATTAAAAGAATAAAAACACAGCCCACAAACTGGGAAAAAGTTTAGCCAACTCTCCCTCAGACAAAGGACTTCTACCTAGAACATATAAAGAATTAAAAAAAAAAAATCAGGCCCCCAAATTCAAAGACCCAATCCAAAAATGGGCATCTGAAGTGAATATTCATTTCTCAGATGAAGAAACACAAACAGTAAATAAATATATGAAAAAATGTTCAACATCACTCATCATTCAAGAAATACAAATTAAAACAACACTGAGATTCCATCTTACCCTAGAAAGAATGGCTATCATCAAGAAGTTAACTAATAATAAATGTTGACAAGGCTGTAGGGGAAAAAGGAACCCTTCACTACTATTGGAACCACTGTGGAAATTAGAGTGGAGATTCCTCAAAAAACTAGTACCATTCAAACCAGCTATGCCCTTTCTGGGTATTTTTCCAGAGAAATTAAAAATATCATACCACAGTGATACATGTGCACCCATGTTTATAGCAGTGCACTTTATCACAGCTAAATCTTGGAAGCAACCCAAGTGCCCAACAACTGAGGAATGGATAAAAAAAATGTGGTATTTTTACACAATGGAGTATCATTCAGCTATAAAGAAAAATAAACTTAAGGCTTTTATAGATAAATCACTTTTATAGATAAATCACTCCCTATATCGCTTTTAATGCTTTTTAAATTCTCTTTAAAATAAAAAACATTTTAAAGGGGTAATACAAATACATATTAAAATAAAGATTTACTACAACAGTAGTATAAAATGTTTTAAATAAAAATTCTATGATGATAAAAATACATTAAAATGCCATGCATATCAAATACCTTGTGCCAACTCTAACGCTCTGTGAATGACTTCTTTAAATGATGTAATATCTTTCTCCCAACAACTGGACTGTGTGTCACATTTGTAGGCCTTCGAGAGATACTGGAATGCCTGAGGAAAGAGAAAGAGCAGCATTCAGAATAACAAATAGAACTCACATTTCAAACTTTTTCCTGGAAATCATATGGAACTAATTCCAACTTGAAAGCCCAGTGTCTGTGCTGTACAGCATGGTCTCCATTATGCTCACGAAAGGAGGGGTAAGGCCACACACTAAATGGCAATAAGCAATTACAAGAAATTGGTGGATGTACTCGGACAGATATCTCTCTATAACCAAACAGTGGATGCCAAAGCTTGGACATCTATTAGAAGGGTAGATTTCTTCAGCATTTGTAGCCAAGAAAATAAGGTATAAATTTGCTGAAAACTAAGGAACTGCTGGTAAGAGTATAACTGAATAAAAGCTGGAAACACTCTTTCATGTCCTTACAAATTCTTAAGGGAAAGTCATAGATCAGAGATTTCAGAGTACTGTGAGATATGTATTTGCAAGAGCATACATAATTCAAGAAGGAATGGAAGGCAGAATGTAGGACTAAGTGTACGTACATGTGATCATAAAATGTGACACTGGGCTGACAAGGCAATGGCAGAACACAGCTATGTGGACTAGCGGAGGAGAGAACCACTAACAATCCCACAGATCAGTTGTGCCTTAGCTAATTCCAAATCCACGCAAAGAGTACATCTGATTTGTTGTGGATGTCTCGAAAAGAAACACAAAATAATTACTGCAACCTTGGAAATTCTGGGAGCTCCTTTAGGTTAGGAGACAGAAGCTGAGGCATACCTGGAATGTAACACGTGTTCTGATGCCCTTGTGATTTGATAGGACAGGATGACCCTTGTAAGGTGTTACATGTTCAGGCTTTCTAGGTCCTCTAACTATCCTCTCGAGTTCCTTTTCTTTCCCTCTCATAGCTATTTCAGACCAAAACACTCATCCTGTTCTTGACCCCAGTCTATCTCAGGGTCTAGCAATGAGCTGCAGAAGAAGGCCTAAAGAATGAGAGCATGCTGCTTGGTGCACAGCCAGTAGGGGTAGTAGGTTAGAGACATTTTTGCAGGAAACAAAGTAACTATGTCAGAAAAATTCATAAACATTAAAAACAAAAAGTTCTAAGTCTTAACCTGCCCATGTTTTAAAGTGCTTATGCTAAGGACAGAATCAAAAATCTGAATTTGACCATATTAATTTTGTCTTTCAGCGTACTGAACTCTCGCTCCACTGATCAAAACAAACAGACATACTGTGCCGTGTTGAGCAAAGGGCTCAGGCCTAGGAGGCCTCAAGGACCTACCTTCTCGTTCTCATCGGGCTTTGCACTCTGCCCATTCCCACATACTTGGGCATACAGCCTCCAGACATCACCATCATTGGTCACTCTTGAAGTTACTCTGCCAAACAATTCTAGTAGCTTTCCTTTGAGACCAGTGGCAACATCTCCACTTCGATCAGTCATTCCATTGGTTATCGCCCTGACCAGAATTTTAAGGACCTTAATGAACATGTACAGAAAAAAATAGGTGAGCTAGAAACATCCAAATAGTAAAACGCAAACAGCTTCCCATGAATCCCCAGCAGTGATATTGCCCTGGAGCGACTCAGAAATGCAGAATCCTAGGTTAGGCTTGATGGTCACCCAGCACTCTAGGATGCTGGGGTAGGACTGCAAGATTTAGCCTTCTCTGGGCAACTTAGTGACTTAGCAAGACCCTACCTAATATTTTAAAAATTTTAAAAGGCTAAGGTTACAGCTCAGTGTGAAGGCCCTGAGTTCAATCCCCCGTTGAAACAACAAAAATTCTGGACAATCTGTGGTTCAATCCCCAGCATGCTCTGCCAGCCCTGCCCCCCCCCTCCCCCGGGGCGTGCTGAGATGAAGACAGATTGGGCGTGGTGGTACAGGCCTATAATCCCAGCACTTGGGAAGCTGAAAACAGGAGAATCATTATGAATCTGATCTGTGTAGTGAGACCCTGTAGACCTTGTACTAAAATAATTTTTTTAAACAAAAGTCAAGCCATCCTGAATAGAACTGCACACTGACTACCGCGACCTCTCTGGATGTCCCTGCTCAGGCTCCCATGTAGGTCCTTTTCTAATCTATTTATAGCAGATGTTCACAGTACATGTTTATTTTAGCTTAGGAAGCAAGTACATGTACTTAACAGATCTTCATTCTTTTTATTCCTCTTCTCTGCCCTCCCTCCCTACTCCCTCTGTCTCTGGTTTCTCTTCCCATTTGCAAAAGATCTATCTCCCTATTTCCTATTGCCTTTTATTTTTGTTTTTAAAATTATTTATACTTGGGGGAGAAGGCCACAGGATATCACCTTGCATCACCTGCATCTAATATAGTGTCTGGCATACAGAACTGATTCAATAAAGTCTTGTGCCTGAAAGACTCAACAAATAGACCTCCTTCAGGAAGTACTGCTAGGAGAAAAGCAACCCAGGTGACATGACACTTTGGTCTGCCTCCTCAAAGAACATTCAATCCATACGCGAGATGTGGCTGAGGAATCCAGGACCCTCCGGAACAAATGCAAACACTTTTAGGAATGTGAGCTCAGGAGCTGGAGGTATGGCTCAGTGGCAGAATGTGTGCTTAGCATGCATAAGGCCTTGAGTTTGATTCCCAGCATTCCTCTGCCCCCCTTCCAAAAAAAAGTGTGAGCTCAGATTTATGGTCCTAATTATATGTATAAAAAAAGTGGTTAGGAGAGCATTTGATTGTGCTTTTTCTTTCTTGTTTGAATATAATGCATTATCTCTGCCTTTTAACTCAAAACATAATTCCACGTGTGTTGAATCTACAAGTAACAAAATTCATTTTACAAACCCACTTGTGGCTTGAAATCTGAAGGTAACAATGCAGAAGAAACAGTATGAAGGGGGGGCTGAAGATAAAATGAAGACAAAGCTTTGTAAATAAGGAAGGGAAAGGGGGCTAAAGAGAAGGGATGGGAACGGGGAAATAGATGTATCATGGACAGGTACAAATTCCCTATGATGAATGTGATCAATATACATATCTAAGCTGTACCAATAAGTTTAATTTTTGAAAAATAAAAAAGTGTTAAGGCATACATCTTGTTTGAGGTGGTCACTCTATAAAGCATTCAACATATTTTGAAAGGGATGGGCTATTAAAACAGCTACTACCATGTGCAAAGGAAACGCATCTCATTAGCAAAACCCTCCACTGCTCCTGGGATCTCGGAGGTGGCTTCATTAGCACACGCTGCTCGGTCTGGCCAAACTGAAGGGCAAGGAGGGAGAGAAAAGCTTTTCATCCTCGTGCCGCGAGGAGTTCAAGTCTGTGCTGCTGGCATGCAACAGGAGAATTTTTCCTGTTTCCCCCCTTTCTTACTGATGTATGTTTGTGCTACATAACATTCACATCTGTTTTGGGGAATTGGTACAGATGTATGTCATATCTTGATCATTCTTGATCCCTTTCCTCCTTTTCTTTCCCTTGCCATATCTGATCGCATCCCTCTATTACAGAAAAGTCTGCTTCTGCTTTTCACCATCTTTGCTTTATTCTTTCTTTATATTTTGGGTTTCTCATATAAGAGAAATCATGTGATGTTTGAAAAATCAGAAACCATGACGTTCTGTGCTGACTTATTTAACATTACCATCCACTTTCTTACAAATGACATGAATTCATTCTTTATTATGAATTTATTCTTATGGCTGAGTAAAATTCCATTTGTGTGTGTACTGTATTTTCTTTATTGATTCCTATGATTGATGAATTTACTGGGATCAAGGCTGTTCCCAGAGGTGGTCTATTGTGAACTGCGCTGCGCTAAACATGGGTATGTACGTGTCACTAAAGTATGATGCTTCTACCTCTTCTGTGACTATATCCAAAAGAGGAAAAACTTGGTGATGTGTGTGTGCCAGTATGCTTGCTGGAGTGCGACTTGGGAGTGAGGAGAACAGGGGGGTAGAGTCCTCTGGGAGCGAGAAGGGGAAGGGAGTGAGGGTACAACAGCTGCAGCACTGCCTCCTCCTGGCTCATACGTAGATACTCTAAGAAGTGAAGGGTCAGGGCAGGGACACTCACTTGCTTGTCCTTTTACTCCCTATCTGCACATCAATGTCCAGTTAAATAGCTGGATCTGGACTTAGAGAACAGTTCTATATTGAAAGAATCAATAATGAGTCATTTATGGCCATGGCAGTATTACCTAGGGACTATGTTGGTAAGAATAAGGCTGAGGATTGAATCTTAAGCAACACACGTTTGAGAGGAGCTTGACTAAATGGAATTCATTTACAGGACAAAAAAGAGTGGCCAGAAGGGGAGGGGCTGTTGTTATGGAAACCAAGGAAGGAGAAAGTCACAAAGAGAGGACATCTACAAAAGATCACATGTGAAACACTACTGGATTGGACAAGTACAAGGATTAGCAATTATATCCAGAAGCACATCCAGAACAAGGAGGGCAGGAGAGACCATAATTATGAGATGAGACTTACAAAGCGAAACATGTGGAAACCGAGACAGTAGTTAACATCATGGAAAACAAAGATCAAAAAGCAAAAAAAAAAAAAAAATCTCCCTACAATATCATAATGTTGCAGGCAGCTGAGTTAGAAATATTATAGGCAGTCAGACAGGACCAGGCCCTCAAGGAGACAAGATGGAAGACAAGGTGACTTTGCAACTTGGAAGAGACAGACACTCCCATATGGGCCACGCCTCAAGACCAAGACAAAAAGAGGAAGCATGTCTACATACTTCCCTACGGATGGGCATTAGGGACTGATATCCTAAATAGTATCAATCAACTCAAAAGAGCCCAAATGAGTCACTAGCTCAACCCCCAACAGGAAGAGACCCTGTTCCATATTTGTGCCTGCTTGCTATGTGACTCGCTTTCCCATTTGATACTGGATTTAATCAATTTTACCTGAGCAATGGTGCTTGTAATCTCATTGGTTGACCATAGTTTTGTCCCACCTCATGCCCAACTAAGCAGTTCCCATGTCTTCTCCACCACCTTAGACCCGCCTCACCACATGGTTTTCCTCTATAAAAGTCCCTGCAAGAGACAACTTCCCGTTCGCCCCCAGTCCCTCTCTCAGACAGGAGCTTTCTTTCTCTCAATAAATATATTCTGTTCATAACTTCCGTTTGTTCCTAAAATTCATTCTTTGGTTTTAGAGAACACGAACTCGTGCAGGTCAGGCCCAGAGATTGTTTTTCTCTATGTCATTTGGAGGTTCCCTGTATTGTTTGGAGGTCACCCACCCGAGACCAGTTTTTCTCCCTGTATCAATAACACTCATTTTGAATATCTGGCCTTTCCTTGTGTACCTCTGTGCATGTCCCCTTTGCTGTAGGGGACAGGTTCCAATAGGTGTTGGACCCATTCCCCTTTTTCAATACCACTATTCTCTTAGTCAGGTCAACAGCTGTTTCCTCCCCCTAAAGGGGGTGTAAAAGTTATGGCAGGCTGCACAGAGTCCTCCCAAAATTTTTCTCTTCCCAAGGACTCAAAATGTGAGTTTATTTGGAAACAGGGTCTCTGCAGATGTAACCTGTTAGGATGAGATCTTGTTTGGACTAGGACGGTCCCTAAATTCAGTGACAAGGTCTAAAAGTTATTCCAGTGGCTTTTTACACGAAGAGATCACAGACCTACAGATAGCATGGAGTTGGACCCAGAGTTCATTCTCTCCAACTCCTTGTCACATCGAGTCCATGGCTGCCACACCTTCTAGGGGTCAGCCTGGTCCTCGTCCTCCCCATCGAGCAGAGGTCTGATGGGCACACCCTCCACCTGCAGTTTCAGCTACCCCATGCGGGCTGAGGACAACCCGGGCATGGCCCTGAGTGGCACCCACAGGGGCCTATTGTATGGCCAAGAGCCGGTGCCCTTCAACCTGGCAGATATCAAGGACGTGAGCCCCTCCTGGTCCGAGTTGGACCCTGTGTACATTCCACTGCTGCAGCCATGGCCAGGAGGTGGGCTGATGGGCAAGCTTGTACTCAAGACGTAGCTGAGCGCCCCGGGAAGCAAGTATGGCAGTCCCCGCGTCATCAGCATTAGCAGAGTCAGCCGCGCATGTGCCCAACGCCAAGCAGGAGGCAATGTCCTCTACATCCTTGGCTCGCCCCAGGAGGCTCAACTGGGATCCGGAATGCCGCTTGGCAACTGGCAACCAGCACCAGCCCACTGCACAGGGCTTCTCCCTCCTGAGCAGGACTAACCCGACCGTGGGTCCCGGTAACTGCTGAGCACCAGGAACTGTCACTCTACCTCGTTGCTTCCTCTAGGCTTCCATCTGCATCCAGAACCCAGCTACCCACCCTTCCTGCCCAACCAAATGCTGCCACCTGTCCCACCGATTCATTACCAAGAGCTCATGTTACCGGGGTTCCTGCTGCCAGAGCCCAGGCCAGAGCGGGAACAAGGCTGTGGCCCAGAAAATGACCTGTACAAAGAGCTCCTTCAAGGCATGCCCGCGAACCCA